TTACCATGTTAATATTAATGATCACGTACTTTATACAATTTTCCTTATTTTAAAATGAATTTAAATTAAACTAAACTTTGAGTTATATGTACCTATTACATTGTAATATTTAAATTGATTTTCTGTTCTCAGAAAATAAGTAGGAACATAGGTTTGAATTTAAATTTTAAGTCTGTATCTTGAACGGGGAACTAATTAACATGTAGCTCGCGTTTAAAATAGCATAATTTTCATGATAATTTATTACTTCAACATTAAAAGTGGTTTGACTTAAAATAGTATAAATTCAAATACCTGTACGTGTACGTACATTCAATAGTAAATTATAACTTAAATATAATACGTTTTACAAAATAAAAATCAGTTGGAAAATGCGTAATTTTAAAATTGTTTTATCTATGAGATAAACTATAAAATATTATGTATAATAAAAAGTAGGTAGGTACCTACACAAAACTTGTTAAAAATTGAAAAATACAATTCGTTACTAAATAATACATATTTTTCTGTTTATGAAAGGCATATTATTCATTATGAGTTAAATTTGACAGTAATTTAATAGAATATTTTTATTATATACCTATGGTAATTAATACGAGGCTAATATATTACTCATATTCATAGTTGTTGATTTCTGTACGATCACCATTATTTTGTGCAGCTAGGAGAGATGCAGTGAAGTTTTTGGGGCCATTAGCGTCAATGAGGTCTAAATTCCCCTTTGAAAATTAGCTAAATTTATATCAAAAGGTACTCAATTTATTAAGTTAACACTGTTATTAATTTATCATTTTTAGAAATGTTACACTATTTTAATAGGTAGGTATTATTATAAAGCGACCCAACTATAATATACAATTTTGATATTACAATGTAGAGAATATTATTAGCTTATCAAACGCAATACATATTATAATAAATGCCTCTCCGACGAATAGAATGTATAAAGTACATTGCAAATATTAAATATGTAAGTAACTTAAGTTATTCAAAATCAAATAACTTTTCTTGATGAATTTGTTTTATTTATGTTTTCAGTAAGTATAGGCAATTTTACCTCGGTACAAAGTGTAAAATACAGTGGCACAGTATGGACATATAACTCGAATCTAATAGGACGTATAAAATGTCGTATAATAAACATATAATTTAAAATGGTATAAAATCAAAAAACGTAATTATGCCATAGTGATATAGAAACAAACGTGATTCGAATTAAGTTATTTGTTGTTTACATACAATTATACAATTACCATAACCTAAGTAAACTAATGATGATTTTTAAAAAAGTTTTAAACGTCAGTTACTCGTATTTAGTATAAACAGGTAAAATTATAGGTATGTATTTAATATATGTTTCTGAATATTATGTTATAATTCGCAATATTAAAGAAATATTGTGAATTTTCCCGAAGAAAATGTACGAAGTATTCGGTTTAAGCAGTTGACACGGAAACATTTGAAACACACTCAAAAACATTTAAAACTAATTTTACTAAATGCTCGACCTTTTATTATATGACGCAGAATTACTAATGTGAACAAATTATTCTTGTATGACAGTAAGGTCTTAGGTTGGGATTGGGGTAAGGGCTTACCCGAGGGACGTTTCCAAAGAGCTGGTGAAACAAAAATACTATTGTATTAAAATGTCGACACAAACAATAGTCACGTAATAACGTGGTAAACGATTGAAACCATTTCAAATGTCTGCCTCTATGAGAAGATTTATTTCATAACATTATTTCTACAACAACATAAAATACACGTCTTATTATTCATTTCCATTTCTAATTGAATCGTTATGGTTTTAATTCTTCGGAAGTATGGGTCGCCCGACGCCCATACATACTGTATTACTGTCGATTGGCTGAAGTTCGGAGCTTACTATTTTATTGCGTTCCACAACGTTTTATCATCATAAAGCACCTTCTAAAATTTAATTTAAAGTTTTAAAGTAAACGGATAGAGACATATTATATTATAATTTATATGAGCCAGCGTGTAATCTTCCAAGAGAACATTATGTCTCCCCAAAATGAGATTCCAAATGAGGGTTGACGTATATATAGATAATACATCATAGTCTGTGTAACAATAGTCATCGATCATAAACACCATTAAGTTCTAAAATTGTTCAGTAGAATTGTTCATTTGTCGTGCACGAACATGTCACAAAATAATACATGACTGTAACTGACAGTGCAAATTTAAAAAAAATCATAGTTCAAAAAATAGCTGAATTAAATGTTTAGAAAAAATGGATCATCAAAAACATATGAAAATGTTTCTAAATTTACCTGACCATCAAGGTTTAGATTATTGGAAAATACGTGTGATGTTCCGTTGATCCACTATAGGTAAAGTTAATATCCGGCTACATAGATGATTTTCTACGAGCCCATTAAATGTTATATCTACAGCGTAGTTGTTTTAATAAAAATAATTTTTGACACACTAATGATTCAGAATACGTTACATTCACATCATCTGCTGAAATTGAATTTGTCTTATGATTGATCTCTGAAAGTTACGCGCTCTTCAAAAGTTGAAAAGTAGACTTGCAAAACTGTCATGTGGTTTGAGTTGTTTTGAAAACATTTGAACAAAAAATATGTCCCTCCCGTTACGGCTGTCCAGAGGAAATGTCATTACACGCGTCTTGCGCGTTATGTAAATTTTCCGAGCCCACTTTTTGCACCACTGAATAATTATTGCAATACCCGTAGTTTTGTTATGTTGAATAATTCATGTGCTTAAAAAAATGTTGTATTTAATATAGGAAATGTATAATGTATATGTGATAGGCGTCTTTTATTTATATCAAACTACTTTGACCAGACATAGTATTGTTAAACTGTTGTGCGGAATCACACGGTTAGACGAATACATTGTTAACCTATACATAAAATTGCTCGCGAAGGCTGACCCACACTAAAATTGAAGTGGTCGGAGTTGCAGTAATTTTGTTGTACTTGTCATCATGGTTCAAAATTGAATAAAATAATTATAGATATAACCACCCACATTATTTTCATCAATTAAGGGCGTTATTAAAGTGAAACATTCATATTTAACGATGTTATTTTGAATAGGTACGTCTTATTTGTAACAGAATTGTATTTCTAATAAAATATGTGTAATCATTATGATAGTAAATTATTTTAAATTGGTAGTTTTACAAGGAAAATGTATATTAATTGTAACGGAAGAAATTTTATTTATTAGCCATACAACATAATTTTATATGTAACAATATAACGATACAATGAAATACTTAGGTATATGATGGTTATCAACTGCACTAAGTATCGTATTATTATATTATTATTATGACGAAAAATATTTTTAATAATTAACTTTAAATATAACAATTAAATATTTAACAATGATTTTATATAATATTAATATCAATATGCTTAGTATGATAATATTATTACAAGTTGTTAAAATCGTTATAATATTAAACTTGTTCCTTAGATCGAAGATTAAACGAATATTTATACACTTTTTCGATTTGTTTTATGATATTTACATTTTCTTACTTAATAAAGAGGTTATATATTTATAATATAATATGTGTGTTAATGTGTATTATTGTTTAAGCCCAATTCATTAAACAAAATTTGTTATTACCACTTCAAACGACTAAAAAGTTTTAATCATAATACCCATTCTTTCATAGAAAATCAGTTAACATATTATTATGATTGATATTTTTTATGTACATTTATTTTACACAATTATTCAAATTATTCAAACATACATACTACTATCATATTTTTACATTTTTTAAAAGTATTTATAGTATGGACGTAGAGTTAAATTTAATATGTAAGTGCAAACCGTAATTGTAAGTTCTTATACTAAAAATCTTTGAATTGTCTACTTCTAAAAATGTGTATTTGACTATGGTGATGATATTTGAATTAAAATTGTTTGGCTTTAAAAAACTTTTAGGAGTGAATTTATTATCAAGAGATGGTATTCTCAAGTAAAAATAAAATATTTTTATGGTATATTACAAAAAGTTGAAGATATGTTCTTAGATGATGCAATAAAGATAGTTCTTTGGTTCTAACATTTTTCAGACTAAACAACTTCGATAAAAGCTAAAATAATAAAAAAAACAATATGAATTGAAGTTAAGAAGAAAATTCTTTATACTTATTAGTAAAAAATATTATATAATATAACCAGTTTAGGTTAGGTGCATAATACAGTAAACATAGATATATTTATTCTGATAAGTTACTTTAATTTATAGTTACATTTTAAAATACTTCATTTGTTATTTACTAGGAATCATTTTTTTTTTATTTTGTTCTTTTTTTATTTTATGTCAATACAATTTAAATACTTAGATATCTACTTACAATAATAAACTATATTCCATCAATTCAAAAACTGTATTACCACATAATTATTTGATGTGTCTGTATTATATTTATAATTAAAAAGAAACATGAATGTAAAGTTAACATTAAGTACCTAATCCAATGTTAATTTATATTTGACATGTAAAATAAATAATCTAATGTATTATATCTAATTTGAAACAACAAATATATGAAGGTATATAGAATATAATGATTAATTTATTGTTTTTTAGTTTATTTTTTAATTCAATGTCTATGTGATTATTTTTAAATAAATATTTCTATACATTTTTATATTTAATTAGATAACTTTATTATTTTTAAAATTAATAATTGTCTATGGTGCAGTTAAACATTTTAGAGATATATTATTGAGTACCTATTTAAATATATTGAAATCAACATATTAATTCAAATTTTCCTTTAACCTAAAAATTGAATGGGTTGATTGAGAAGTAATCTATTCTATTTTGCACACCATTATTAGTTGTAAGATAAACAATGTTAAGTACGTAGAAAGATACACGACTGAACAAAAAATATCAGTACTAAAATGTATTTAGTAAAATGTTTGTTATTTTAGTTTGCATACAGCTGTATTATTTTATAACTATTATTTTTGTGATGGTTTAGTTGATTTTAATAAAATAACATTACCTTAAAAATACCACTAGGCATTTATTAATTTATTAGTGAATAGCTTAAATTAAACGGTACGTTTGTTTACGTTTGTTTAACAAACAAATCAAAAACAATTAAATCAGAAGTGGTTGAAGAAATGTAAAATAAAAATATTTTATAGGCCAAGGTAAAAAATTGATTGGGTTTTTGAAATAATGATAAATTGCGTAGTATAATTGAATGATTCTATAATGAATATCATATTAGATATTATCCTCTACACCATTATAGGAAATACAATTTTTTTTTAAGTCAACTATTAGTAAAATTTGTCCAGAGAAATATGAAAAGCTATAACACTATAATAAAATGATAATATATTTGTGCAAAACACTGAGTGCAATGATTGATTTAGACATTTGATACTGCTGTAGCCATTATAATATTATGTACTATTTACCATCTTCCATGTTAATCATTTTCTCTGAATAAATAAAAATCTCTATTTTATTCATCAAAAATATTATGGTTTCTTGGACATTTCATCAATAATATAGATATTATTCAATCGTGTTTCTGAACGGTTGATACAGTCTTAATCCTTTGGTGGTTTAACATTTTTTGAAACAAACAAAATTAATTTAAAGTAATTTTAAATACGTATAGCAAACTAGGTAAATTTGATTAGGCTTAAGATTACAAAACAAAATACACTAAATTGTATTTGATTTAAAACGGGTTACGATTATTCTCGGTAAACATATGGTGAGATAGGTACTTTCGTAAAATAACTAGAAATCTATATGTAGTAACAAAAAAAAAAGTGAATAAAGAAGTAATAATAAATAAATAATGTTGTTTGACATAAATTGATTGCTTTAAGGAAAATTAATTGCACGTAATAATCCCTTCATCTGTTCTCGCTTCGAACAACAACAAAAAAATAAAAATAAAAAATAAAAAAAATCGAATGATAAATAACTTACATTGTGCCAATTGTTAATATCCCATAAAGATAATTAAAAAAAAATCATTTTATATGAAAGGGGTCTGTATAGCAATTTATCTTACTAGGAAAAAATAACAATCAACGATTTTCACGGTGTTTGATTATTTTTAATTTATTTTTAATTTATTTAATATTGGGATATTATACATTTCAAATCAACACGCTGCTATAGAGATAAAATTAAAAAATAAACGTTGTCATTGCATTATCTGCTAAAAAACTAAATTGATTACATAATTACTCAATTAAAGAATTAATGAATTAATTCAAATTTAAAATTAATTTATTTTTAATAGGTATTTCTCTAAATTTTTGGAAGCAGTTGACGGGTTTGGGACAGAACTCTAGTACGAAATGACATATAGGTAGGTACAATTACAAAGATCGAATAAAATTATATGCAAATTATATAATGCATAATTCATTTATATGATATCAACAATTAATGTCGATGTATACTGCTGTGAATGGGACTTTTGAACGTCCAAAAATTGTGCTAACTATAAATAACTTTTATCCCTTCCCCCTTTCCAATCCATCTAAACCGGATAATAGGTAATATGTTTAATATATAATAATAATAATAATATGTACAACTATAAGTAGATAGTATAGTTTTTTTTTTTGTTTTCATGGATAGGTACCGATGTCCGCTGGTTATTGCAATCGCAGTACGTCATAAGTACCCATTTGTCAGACGGGTGGTTTTAAAATTAGATCGTGCGCGTGCGCAATAATTATAAGCTTTCGCAATGAATTTACAAAAGCGATTCGTTGGTACATGTTCTAGGTCCGTTGACCAATGAATAACGGGAGCTGCCGCCCGCCCCGTGTTTACGGTTTATCTGCACCGAGCCTCTGATAAACAGCTCTTTGAACGTTTCCCGGAACTGTCTGGACATGCCGCAATAAATGGCGAAGTTGATCGGGTAGCTGACGATGATGAAGAAATTGGTGAACAACACCAATAGATTGGCCACCGAATAGTCGAGTATTTCTTTGATACTGCTTGATATTATGTGCAACACCTGCAGAACACAAAATTAAACGATGACGTGTAATAGATGCCTATTGTATTGTATTATTATATTAATGATCGGTTAGGTATGTAGTGAAATTTAAACAGTGGGACACGCATTGGAGATTTAGACAGATCCTGGGTATAGAAATGCATTTTTACTTTTCGTTATAATCGTGAAAATATGAATTATTCTACGCTAAAAATAATAATAAAATCATTTTAAAGATTGCTCTCATTAAAGGTACTTAAATCGACTCTCTACCGATGCAGAATTTGGACTGCTGTCTCAGCTACACATATTGTTTAGAAGTTATTGATCATTTTTGGATTTGGATCTCTAGGATTTTAATCAATTATTTATTATTGTAAGTTTTCACATAAATAGTTTTACATTATTAAAATATTTTATTATTTTAATAATCAAAAATCTTTGTACCCATTGTATTGTATATATTTTTTCAGATAAAAAATACTATTGGTACCTACATAAAAAACACCATGATCGAATTCTCAGTAAGTAGGTATATATTTAAAAAATACGATTCACGAAAAATCAGTAAAAAAAAAAACACTTACAGAATATTGATATACCTACCTACCTAAGTGAAAAGTACCTACTTAACATTGATATTTGATATATCTACCTGAGTGAAAAGTACCCACTTAACAGACATGTATGCGACATGCCGGTACTGGTACCTATTTGAAGATAGACTAAAGCTCTTATGGTATTGACAAATAAAGTATATTTGTACTCAAATAATTAGAGTTGCGAGACTTTTATTGTAGACAAATTTAATTTAATTATATTAAGGCATAATTTAGCATTTTTTACTGTTTGTTTTTCCAGAAAAATATTAATGGTCTCGAGCATAATTTTACTGTAATTAAAACCTTTAAGTACACGAATAACAGATTTGGTGATATAGGTACCTACGTTTAATATTATCTATAAAGAATTTCATCATTGTTTAATTGATTTCAAATACCTATAAAGCGTACAGTTTTGTATTATTTACACGTAATATTACAACCACTAAAAATTTCTCACTCTGAGAGAGTGATTTAGAGTGATAAGCATCATTTTCATCGCATCCGGTTATTGTTATCATTATTATTTTTGTTTCAAAAAAATGTTCTAATTTGTATCAAGTCTTTTAAAAATACACTTAAATTAAATTAAAAAGTTTTTACATAATGTACTGAACTTATCATTTTTTGATATTATTATATTTAAAGAAAGATAAAATATGCATAGATAAACATTCAGTATTATAACTGACGTTTACCGGAAGAAAGTAATATTTTCAGTTGTGCTAATAACAAACCGGAAAGTATTCGATTACAAAGACGAAAAATACTTTGAAGAAATCGTAATATGTTTAGTTTTATTTTATTTTCACTCAATAAATTTTTATAGACTGAACAAAAATTTGATTTACATAATGATTATAACGGGAAATGTTTACAGTTAAAGTCAAGGGATGGTGAATATTTTTTTCAGTAACTTCAGTCAGCTTACATAGTTACGTGTTATATTTAGAGTCCAAGTTATATTTATAGTATTTTAATAGTTACTTGTCTATACAATATTATTCTATCTGTACCTTTAAATTTGAATCCACGCATTTCGTAAACTCATAAAAATCATAAATACTTTGAATCTACTTAAATATACAGTGTAGATATGTAGGTAGGTACTTGATAACCAACTGTTCAGGAAGTCTTTAGAATTTATTGTGACTATTCTCCCTCGATTTCGGTATTATCATTTTTGTTCACGTTAAATACACCACAAGAAGACCCGAGTCTTTATCAATAAAATAAATAAATAAAACTACAATGTTTAAACCGTGATAAAATTATCCACTACTCATATTTAAGGAGGTGAATGATATTAAAGATAAAGATACACGTACAATTTATTACATTTAGTGATTCATAAAATACATTTCAAAGTAACCAATAAATTAAAAACGAATTTCTTTGCATCCATGTAGTTACACCTCATGCTTACACACATTTTGTTCTTTAAATTTGAGTAAATAAAATGCAGAAAAAGAACAAAATACAAATATTATAATAAAATCATTAATGTTTTAAATACTTTTTTCTTTACCTATTGTTGTAATAAATAATACTAAATTAAGTATCGTTTATTTTCACTCAGTTTTTAATTGATAATATATTAATTGATTATTGAACGCATGTGTATTATACATTTGTAGTTTACAAAGAATGTAATAACTGAACTGGATTTCAATTTGAAAGTTCTTTGTATTGGCACAAGATTAAGATGACCAAAAATTAAGTTTTAACGTTCATGGGATAATATTAAATCAAAACACTAACTATTTTAAAAGTTTGCAATTTTTGTCTACAGAAATATCGAGTTATAACTTTTCCAAAAGTTGATAATAATCTTAGCCTGATACCTAATATAGCTTTTCATAACGGAGTGTGATTTTTTCCCTCTGTCAATACTTTTGAAAATAGTATTATTGTGTTAGGATGTCTTAAATGTGCCAAAGTTCATCATTTCTATGAGACCGTCATCATGATCAATACAATTAATATTAATTTAAAATTATATAATATTGTACACAGCTTATTATTTTTTTATTACATCCATCTTTATCAAGTGTAATACAAAAGTGTATTTTATAGCCAATTTGCTTTGGTAAAATACTTCCAGATACCTATCACTTTTTTGGGCTGGATTATTGATCATAAACCGATAAAAATTATTACAAAATATGATTTTACACATTCGATTGAATATAGTATATACTATTATGCAATTTATTGTTTTTTATTTTTCTGATATCAATATTATTGTATGAAGTATTGATACATTATAATTTATAATCAGCTAATGTAAGGTATGATTTCTATGGTTATAACTCAAAAGGTGCCATTACCAATTTGATCAAAATCAAGTTAAATATATAATTTTCATGTTTGAAAAATGGCGAGAAACTAAAAAAAATATATTAATTTTTCTTGTTAAAACGTGCTGATAGCTAGCAAAAGATATAGTTGCTAAAAATGTGGTCTTGAATTAGATTGTAACTAGGTTTGAGATAAAAAATAAAATGTTTTCTAAAATTTTTGATTTAAATTCTTAAAAAATTATAAATTACTTTAAATTAGAAGAACATAAAAATGTTTCTAATTATATCTAAGAAGTGAAAATTAAAAAAATTAGTATCCGTTATTCGCTTATATAATGATATAATTTAAAATGTCTATTGTTAATATTCTACTTGTTTAAATTTTGAACAAATTTGAGGATGTGTGTGTTTAATGCCCCATTGTCCCTGAGGACACTGTGTTCTGAGTCACAATTATTATTGTTATACATGCGTTATTAGTAATTAATAGTATAGGTATGATTTTTTTAATAAATAATATTTTTTTTAAATAAATCTTTATCATCTTTGTCGTCAACGGCTGTTTAAAAAAATGAAATCGTATTAAATTATTAAATTATATATGACGATGTATTGAATAAATTTATTTCGACCGCAGTTCATTGTACTCTGTGAATAAACGTACTAATTCTTGATGGTTATCGAATACAAAATAAAAACCTGATGCGTAAAGGCGGGGTAGGTACCTATTTAGGGACATACTCAGATATTTGATATCTACTTGATACTTAATACCCATATCATTATAAAATACTAAAGTGATATTGATGGTTGATACATTGATACATTGCCTTGTTACAAGGACAATAATGATATGATGCATTATTCCGTATATATAAGATTTTAAAATTATTTGCTCTGAAATGTAAATAAATATTAAAGCTTTTTTTGAAAATGAATAAGCTATTAATTCACTATTTTTGAAGGTGATTGACTTGTATAGTAAACAGAGTTGAGTTTAAACTAAAAATAAATCTGATACAAACAATAGCATAAAATATAGGCCAGTTTATGTACATACTAAAGATAAAATATAAATACATTATTTCAAGATTAAAAAAAGTAGTGTAAAAATAAACTCAAAACCAAAATATTCCATGTGTAAAATCAGACTTCTAAAAAAAGAATTATCTTTTCCATGCCAATAATCGATTTTGATTTACTCTTTCTTAGTATTTTCAATATTTATTTCTTAGTTTTTTTTGCTGCCGTTTGTGTAGCAATTCCGTCAATTTTTTGAATACTTATAATAAGACTTGTGTCATTTTATACATAACAATAATATAATGGAACTGTAGTTGGTCATTTTTGATGTTTTATACGGTATTTATGGTCAGTTAAAATAGGCATGTACACGAAGAACAATTTAAGTGAGTAAGAAATAAGAATAATTATTATAAAGTAAACTTTGTGTTTGTAAACGAAATTTAATAACTATTATAATTCATAACGAAATAAATAAATCTAATCATTTAAAAAAAATAATTAACCAAACATTACTTTGTTGCTTGTTTTAAAGTAACTAGACGTTAAAGTACGTATGCAACTGAAAAGCTTGTGATTCAATTTCCGAGACCTCGTTTGTTTTTTTTTTCGAAGACATTAATTTAATACAAATTACCCATCAATAATATTCTTATTTAATTTTAATTTTAATATAATAATATTTGGTTCAGGATAAAATCCATGTCATTGTGTCAAAATCATTATACCACTTTCCTATATTATTTTTGTAAGCATATTAGTATCTATTCTACTAATGGATTATGTAGGTATTTCAGTGACGAGTGAACTATATTTGTAACTTTGATATAAATGAATAGGTGTTGGTAGGTAGATATTTATTATATTACCAACGAGCCCATGAAAATGTTGATCACAGATAGGTACAACGTAACTAGAAATTCTTCAACAAATATCCTCAATTTAGCATGTTTACTTTGAACTTTGGGTATTCTTCGAGTTCATTTATTTTAATGGTACAGTAAATGTCACGCATACAGTTAGTTATGTATCTATATGCCGAACACTCGAAGTAGACCTATTAACGATAGTTAAATTAACTCATGAATATCAACAGTCTACAAGCCTATTTTGATACAATTGTATACTTTAGTCGATTGACGACTTGTAAACCAACCGTTTCAGGTTATAAAAATAGTATGTTTATGACGTATATACAACAATAATTACAGATCTTCATAAGATAAAAATAAATTCTCAAAAACTCTGAATGTGCAAGTGTATTGTGTATTTTGATGAAAGGCCTCGAAAATATGCAATAAAAAATTGTTTTACTAATTTAATTCCGTATGATTTAAATTATAGATATAACTTAAAATAAATGTATTTGGAGTATAAGAAAAAAATATGCTTATGCAAAGAAATCTTAGCCTCGAATACGATATAATGTGCAACTAATATTTCACATTAAATCATTACTAAATAGTAATGAAATATATTTTTTCACAATATTTTTAGTAGACATAATGGTATATATTTTTTTAATTCATATTTATTTTGGATATAAAAATGTGAATTAACTTATTTTGCATAATATATTTGAGGGAATAAAGAAAATATAATAAACATTGCTTAGAACTAACAATCGGATCTTATACAAAATAATATGATACGCTGCTGGGCGTTTGTATCTTTTCGCTCATCGGGACCGAAGGCGGTGTTGTATTATTATTGTAACCGATTATTTTAGAACCGATATGAAGTTCAAAATTTATTGTATAAACGTGTTTGTGGCACAGTAAATAAAAAGTCACTCTGTTATATAGGAGGTTTTGAGTGTACCTCGTTATTGAGTAGGTAACTATAATGGATGTGTTAAATTTGAATTAAATGATATAATATCATTGCACACGAAAAATGATCGTGAGTGGAGATGGCGTGTCAGCTCTTTATTTCTAAGGATATTTTATACTTTATGATTTATTTATACCGCTATTAGCATTTTATTTTTTAATATTCCACTACTAATACGATTGGTAGAATTAATTTTTGCCAAAAATATGGAATATAATATATTAATGTTAATTTAAGTAAATTCTGACTGAGAGTTGCAGGTTATGAATAGTTTTAAATTAGTCTAAATATTTTGAAAATATAATTGTGTACATAAAACAATAATATGCGTAATTGTGAAAAGTCTCTACGATTAATGTTTTTTGAATAGGTAACAGAAAAATAACATCACTCGATAAATGTAAGATAGATTATTTTTCATTTAAATATCCAATTTCAGTAAACACTCAACTTCAGAGGTCAATAACAAAAATGTTGTATATTTATTGTAATTTTTAGTTTTGCAAGAATAACCTATGAGGAACCTTATCTTAAATTGTTATGCTTTAACTTTTAAAATTGATTGATTTTAACTCCATAATAATTTGTTTTTAAAAATTGTGTACTTTATACACTTATAGAAATAGCTGAAAACTGATTTTGTGGAAATATTAAAGACATTTTTGTTTTTCAATTATTTTGAAAAGAATTGAGCATTTTTTTTCTTCAAAATACTAACTTTACAACTAGAGACTACTATGAAAGTTAAACAGCTTTTTAACTGTTCCAACACGTGATGACTGACACATATATAACATGTACATTACATCACACACTTCATTGTGAAACCAATCAGAATATAAAATGGACCTCATTAATATTAATTGACCTACAAACCAGACTGATGATATTTAAACGTGTGGTGTTAAAACAAGAACACAATTTTATTTAATTATAGTTTAAAATTAAAATAAACGTAATTTATTCATTTTTATTTTTATATGATTATAATTGTACTATAAAGATGATAATGACCAAAGGGATTACGTTTTATAGCTTCTGAATTAATCGAGGTTAGCTTAGTGGTTTTTATTTAATGTTTTTTAATATAATTCAATTTTGGTAATTTAATGATGCAGGAATATTACTATTATTAATTAAAAATTACTTTTAAAAGAATTTTTCAAAAAATATTATAATTTATTGAAGAATTGACAATTACGTATATTATATAATTGTACTTTTATGTAGGTTAGTAGATACCCACGAAAATTAACATAGATGTAAAATTGATGTACATAATTTAATGAAATATGTGGAAAATACATTTAAAGTACCTTTTCTGAAATTGTTCTTATTTTGGATGTAGGTATATATAATATTAATATGTATAATATATAAATGTATTAAATGTGGAGCAACAGCAATTAATTATTGATTACCCGTCTGCTGGATAGCTGTCTGTGATTGATGCTGATAAACGTGTATAAAGGATTTGAGTGTTTTCACAATTCAAATAGACGAATTTATATTTCAAAGGAATCTATTGTAATACATTAAAATTTAAAGACAAGCGACTGGGAATTTTTTAAGGTTCAACCCGCTATGAGAGGGATGAAAATAGTCTTTCGACAACAAAAAATTAAAATTTTACTGAATGCAAAGGTATAGGATATTTTAAATTTTTGATAATGTGATGATAGTATGAAAAGATTGCGTTATGTATTGGCCTTACAATTTGACCAGTGCTATTTTTTTTTGTATTTTTAATGGCAGTTTCGCAGTTGGAAATCTCAAACGATAGTGTCATCGTATATTAAAAATGAAACATAAGCATAATTATTTTATTTCACTGATGTTATTCAGATAATAACAAAAGGTTGTGAAAAAAATTAAAGAAATAAAAGCGAGCATCAGTTTTTTTTCTACAGCTGGTGTTTATCATTTTTGGATGATCAAGTTTTTTAAAAGCAATTATTCATTTTCATTGTCATAAATTAACAAAAATCTCGCTGCAGCTGAATCAATGTCAGTTACTTTTTTTTCTTCAGACAATTGAAACAGTAGCCAAAGCAATTTTCTGCAGCTATTTGGTTAGTAATTGAACACTTTCGACTTTTGGTAGCATATGCCTTGATTTAAGTTTATTTTTTAATTTACAACATTGCGTAACTACATCAACCAGTGAATAGTATTTTTATGACCATGCAACTCAAATAGGTATATCAAGTCAATGTTTTAAACACAAAATCAATGTTGAATATCCTATCAAAATTTAAAGTTAATTAGCTTTGACATTATTAAACTGAACTCTTCTCATCAAGTGATAAATCATAAAAAAAGAGACAGTTTGGAAGAATTTTTTTTTAGATAAATGGTATTTTTTATTTGTGGAAAATAGCCCATACTTTTTAAATCAGTTATTTTTAAGACTGTTATTATATTTGTACTTATGCAAATATTTTGATTTTTGATACCTCATCTTATATTTTGTATTGTGTGTTAATATTATTATTATTATTATTCTAACAAAATTATTTTACTTTTATGAACTACTTACCTACCTTCATTTATTAACAAAATGGGAGACATATTTGATAATATAATCAATTATCATACATTTCAAGCGTGAAATCAAAGAAATAAAACATTTTTTTCTCATAAATGTTGAAATTATTATTTCAATATATCTCGACACCAATATGTTTTAATAAAATGTATCTGACAAATAATTAAAAATATTTGAACCTTAAAAGTCATTATGTAATATTACTTACCGTTACTACAGCCAATGGAATTTCTGTCATTAGGAAAACCGTCACAACGACAATGAGCATCAATGTTGTGCAATTAGAATCTCTTAGACGTTTGCATTCGTTCTTTCTGTTCTCTTTGAATAATTTGTCTCTTTTTAATTGCGCATCTCTCATAGCCCTGGAACAGTAATGATAAACAGTATTATTGCGTGATGGATTATTACTGAAAATGTACCTCATCGTTTTAGATGAAATAAACCATTTTAATTTAGAATGTTTTTAAATTAAAATAGCATAGAAACGGTTAGTAATTATTATTTTACATAATAACATTTTATGAACTTAATTACAAGAGTAGGAAAAACAGAGTTCTAACATTTTCGTTTACGACAAGGTAACTTAACAGGTAAATTAACTCTACTAACTACTGATATACTTATGTAGATATGTGCCTACTTATTATAAATATTAATATTAAATTAAAAATGTTCACTTAATTAATATATAATTACTAAACATAAAAATAATATTGAATAATCATCTATTGATAAAAATCAAGAAAACATTTTAAGCAATGTAGTATATGCTTAAATTTGATGAGTTTTAAATTATTTATAATTTATATATTAATTTTAATTAATTGTTTGTCGCAGAATGAAATCAAAAAAAAATTGAAATTCATTACGTCATGTTGAGTAGACTACTATTATATGTGTACTGCAGGTGGTTTGGTTTTATAAATGTATATTATTATTATAATAAATTGGAAATAGATTATTGTCGTATTTGAAACATTCGATTCTGAGCAGAGCGTATAGTTAAAGAGCTTATAGTTAAGTATATTATTAACGTATTATTTCGAGTTTATATTGTTTATATGTCAAATTATGCATAAATATTTTTATTTTTATCAATAAAGTTAACATTTTATCACTGGCATAATTATATGATACGGGAATGAACATGAGATGCTTTTGATGGACTTCTCATCGACGTTTTTCCTGGAAAGTAATTTATTATGAAGTAATATAAACTTATTATTGCTAAATGGCTATCACGTAAATTTGACAAAAAAACGTTTAGAAGATTTGATTTACATTTATAAATAAGATTTATAAGCATAGGCGAATCCAGAATTATATCGCGGCAACGTTTTATAGTATTCATTTTGGGAATTCCCCTATGAAATCACCCCTTCTCCAGTTTGATAAAAGTTAGTTTTGTGTTAATTAATTTAAATTTGAAGGTCTCGTCATTGACAGTAGTTATTTATTATGTACAGTATTATTCTATAGTATAATTGTTCAGGCTAGATCCTTAAATAGTTTTTTAGTCCTGTTTTCAAATTGTAAATTCTACGCCTAAATTATTTTTATAAACATTTCTTTTTAATTTTATAATATAATTCCAGAATAAATGTGTCATATTATATTGATTGTTTTTAAGTGTTTTTTTTTATGAATCGTTTAGAGGTAGAAGTAAAAATATTAATTAAAATTCATACAATTTCTGGTGTCGAGTGAAGTTAGTTGTAAGTGGTGTTAAAGTGTATAAATTGTATAGAATGCTATGTTAATCCTCTATAGAACCTATTACTTACTCGTCTCTCCTTCCCTTCATCGCTTCTAAACAATACAATTAGTATGAATTTCATATTATTTTAACATTATAAATTATGCATACAAATAAATCATTTTATTAAAATGAGTAAAAACTAAAACTAATTGGTTTAAATTTTTTAAGAATGCTTCCACATTTATTAAATAAAATACATAATTTTGGATTCAGTTGCTATTCGTTTTAGGGAGAATATAAAAATAAATAAATATATTTTTAAAAACATCTTGTAATGACACAGGAAGTTGTGTTGAAAAAAAATTAAAACAATATTTGGAAACTAATACATTTTTGATATAGTTTAGATAGAGTATCTAAAATTAGGGAATATATGATTATATGAAGATAAAATATTATTTTTAAATATATATTCCATATAAGAAATGTATTTAATTTTTAAAACAATAATAATTTACACAATATACTGGCACTACTGACACTAGCGTTTATTTAATATGCTGTTTAGTCATGAAAATTACTTAAATAATATATAGTAATGTAAATATGATTATTTGTATATATAGTTTTGGGGATCTATACAACCATACATAATTAAAAAATATAATTATATTTGAATTTCGATTTCAAATAATTACAAAAAAAATCTTGTTCAGAAGAATGTTATAAACATATTAGCAGTTTATTTCGACAAAAATAATAATAAGATTCGTAATTCATAAATATTGTTTATGAAATAATGCTTTATACTGCAGGAATATGATATCATATCAAATCATATACCTAGGTACCTACTTACATCATATTAAATAATAATAATTGTAAATGTATTAAATAATACTATTAGTATGCACTACAAAAGAATAATTTTTGATGGTTTTAAAGAAATGCTATTTGAGTGTACCAACTTGATATTTTAATGTGAACTTTTCACATTGTTTTTGAATCTAATATTAGGTACTATAAATCGCGGGCCTTAGCCGAGATGGTTGAAATGAGATAATATGTTTACTTATTTTTATTTCAGCGTTACTTTGATATTATAATATTTTTAGTAAGACTATTATTTTAGTATTATGTATTATGTATTACGATATCCATCGTTAAGATACTTATGTTTATTAAAACATACATATTGTTCAATAATAACATTCATTTTAAATCGATAACATTTATTATTTACTCGTATATTTTATTTATTTTCACTCTCAACTACGAACAATTCTTTTAGGTACCTAATTTCTATAAAAATTAATTAGACTTGAAATTACATTTATATCATATTCAACAAATCAATGACTTTATTTAAATCTTATTATCCACGCAGTTCAAGTTATTTATGTCAACTTTAACTACATACAACCAAGGCCATAACTGGAAATTAATTTGGGGGGGGGGGGTTAAGCTTAAAAAATGTGTACTAATTTTATTATAATCTTTGAATTCCGTTGTGGTTTTCAACCCACCGAATATCATTGATGTCAGTTTAGTCCACTTAGTATTAGGTACAATGTTTTTTTATTTTAGTTTTTAATATATTAATATATAGTTATTTTACTACCACATAATGTAACATGAAGCAATTTAGGGGGGGGGGTCGAGTACTTATAAGATAGTTACGATAGGAGAGTATTGGGTATTGGGTTTTATTAAATTCTAAAGACATTAACAAGATTCTCTAAAAAAAAAATGATTTATATCTGACAGAAATAATTTCAACTGAAGTTTTATTATTGTTTTTGGTGTGTTTAAGATACTAAGATTACACTTAAGGAGGAATGATTTGCAGTTTTGAATTTTTTTTTGGTAAGAGGGTTGAATGTATTTCCCATTTATTACGAGAATAGAATTTTTTAATTGTATAGGTAATTTGAATAAACTATTTGGTAAAATTTCATTAAAAAAATTATTTATTTCATTTTTTTTTGATCTATTTTTGAAAAAAATGTTTTGAAACATCATAGTTTCATAAAAATCAACATATAACAATAACGTTTCAAAAATATAATTATTATAATGATTACTATAATTAGTATTTTATTTATGAAAATTATTGTTGTAGATTATTATCTATACTAATATTGAGAAAAACAAGCATTTTGTACTTAGTAGTTTAGTATAGTCAAATAAAGGTCCGAAAGACGGTTATTCCACCGGCCACCACTCCTTTTAAAATGCTTCATAGGTTACTGACTGTTTTTAATATAAATTACTGCTCTAGATAGTGTTCACTCACTATACTTTAAGATTTAAAAAAATTGTACTGCAATAATTTGATACAGTAAAATATTAAGAAGTGTCAGAAAGTGTTGAACATTTAGATTGTAAACCTTTTCAAATTTGTTTAATTCAAAACTGTTGTTAACTTATTCTAAGTTTAGGTTAGATAATACAACTAGAAAATAGGCAAATCTTGTGTTTTATTTTACAATTAGTTATTCATTATTATTATTATTAGAATATATCTCAAATTTGATCGTCAAAATACAAAAATAGCAACGCGTTTTTATTTTTGGAGAACTTCTAAAACATTATTTTCGTGGAAATTATCAACAGACATATAAATATGAGAAATTATAATTTCAAGTAGATATAACGAACTGTATACGAATAACAATACAGTTTTTCGTACATGATGAATTCAATTATTGATCATCAGTATTTATATCCCTATTAAAAAATTAATACATTTAACACTACCCTTGTGTTGATACAGTTAGAAACTCAAAATTATGACACTGGCAATAACTGCAACCTACGCCACTGGTGAAGATAACACCACGTAACAGAACGATTACCGTATGAGTTGTGTTTTGCTCGACGAAAACTGTACACAGCATTTGGCAGAGAAAACAACATTACATTATTGAAACCAACGACCAGCAGACATCAACAACGAGGGAGATAGCTTATAAACGGGTGTATTTACTAATACATCCTGCGTATAATACTAAGTCATGAACTCCTTAATGGTTATTGTGACAGACAATGAACCAGCTTCCTATGCTTAATCGGGTGCATCCACAAACATCGGACTAAAATCTTCAATCTTGGTAATGCAGTATCATGCAGTATGAGATACAAAACAAAGTTGAATTTATTATTCATGAATACTATATTCGATCAACTTCAAACCTCATACACTACCAATCAGGTGGACCAGTTGGTCAGTAATAATACTTTTGAACGACGTACCTAATAATTTAATTTACCCTAAAATGGTAACTTTATGGCCAAGCGAAGTGTGTAATCCGAAAGCTTCAGGCATGACGGAAGGACTGAGTCTTGAAGGACCATTGGCACTGCTAAATTTTTAACAGATGTACCTACTGGAAATCAATATCTGTATAAAGCTATTACAATGTTTCCAAAGTCTGACAAATAACCTGAAATAATAATAAAAAAAAAAATAGACCGATCTTCTCCTAGATGCTCTGTCAACAATCTTCAGGTCACTGTTATTAAATCAAATCAAAATATGCTCAAAGCAAATATACTGCCACGAAAAATTTGATTCTAAACCCCACATTGTATATTGGCAAAGTGTGGCATGATAATCTGTTACATAAACATCATAAAAACTCATTGTAATATAATTACCATCACAAAGCATACATTTGAAAAAATATATCTTATTTAATCGAACTTCTTTGGTAAAATAAAACTCAAACATCATATCACTAATTAGGAACATCCAAGATGGAGTATCTCGAGGATTTTGTTTGTCAATTGTCACCATACTTTTTTGAAATTTTTTACATCGATGACATGTCACGTTACTAATTATCAAAAGTTGCTTTATTCATTTCAAAATGTAGCATTCAAGAAATCTCAACTGCAGATCAACCACATGATGCCGTGTTCCTATTATTGGAAAATAACTGTAAACCAGTCCAAAAAAGCACTAATACCGAATATACTAGATGATGTGGTCGATAACTCTTGGACGATCATCACACGAATAAACAGATAAGTATACGTTCATAGCCTCATGTCCCTACCATATTGACTCTCCGCTTGTAAACTGTCTTTATTAAACCGGCCTTACCGGACAAACTGTAAGACTTCTGGAAAGCGTTCTTTCAACAACATTGTCGACACATACAACTGTTCTTTTCAGGACCACCACTTGCTGTTCGATAACATGACAGTAGCAACTTAAGTGAGTGGTCACATTAGTGGGATCCTCCTCCGCCCTCTAGCTAAGTAAGACACATTCCATACGACTGCACTCATCCAAGACCACCTCTAGTTTCTTAAATATACTCGACCAGTCGGGCCGCTATCAAGTTCATCGTATTAAAAATATATTATACGTTATATAAATATTACAACACAATAAACAACGAGTTACCAGTTAAATCATCGGTTAGGTATTTAAATTGTATACGAAGCATCACAGCTAATACGTTTCATAGTCGGGTGGTACTACTGAGTACCTTCCACCCTGAAATTTCTCATTACTTTAAGCCTTTATAAGAAATTACCTATTTTAAAAATATTTATGTATATATTGCAATTTTGTAATTATGTTTCAATAATAATAAACAAAAACCTTTTCATAGTGTCAATATTTTTTTAATGTGAAACATCTAAAGTGGTGGGTTACGGGTGATACTGAGTTTATTGCATTAATTTAATATATTTAAAACGGAAAAAATGCATCAAAAACAGTATTACTATTATCTATACAATATTACTAATAAATAATTGATAGGTAGGGGATAAGTAACAATTAACTAGTATTATTTTTCTAAATTGTTATTTAATTTATAAATATGTACCTACGTATATTATATTGTAAGTTTTTTTTTAAACACCTCTAAATCTCTTTACAACGATTTTTTGAGACATTTAACTGGATTGGCTAGTCATGTCGAAGAAAAAGTACTATCAACGAAGGGTATTGGGTTTATTAAGGAGAAGATTATTAAAGTCATTGTATTGAGCTAATGGTATTTTATTTTTTCAAACAGAGGAGACGAAGTGGTTAAGATATTATGTGTACGGATCAAGGAAAAGTAGTTACATTTTTTCATTTTAATATGGTTATACCTAATATTTTAAATGTTTTTCAAGTTAAAGTTAACTTATTTTGTTATTGTAAATATATAACTTTAACTTGTAAATAAGAGGTCACTGTTTTATATAATAGAATATAGTGCAAATTGAGTAGTTATCAATAAATTAAACTTTTAAAATATTTAAAAAATTAAGTCAGTTTTACTGATGTAAAGAGTTTTTCCTAAGGTTTATAGATTAAATAGATAAATCTAAATTAAATTATCATTTCAATCATAGAAATAATAGAAATTCAATAAGGTAGATAAATGTAATAAAATATTAATTCGAAATTATAAAAAATGTCTTATGTTCTAGATGTAAGGACCATTTTTACTCCATAATAAATCGTATATTTTATTGTTTATCCTTATAACCTACAAAATTATTTTGTGTAATGTGTTTCTACTTTAAAATAAAATGTAATTACTGATTTTCGTACTTAATTATCAACATAAAAAACTGAATTTCGTTTATAATGTTAACATTTTGTTTTAAGTTATAAGACATTATCATTACAGCTATAAAAACAAATATTTTATAAATTAATGTATTCTTAACTATTGGTTTCGAAAACTTTTATTTTTTTACACTATCCAGGCAAATGTAATATTTAAGGTTTTCAGAGTTTGAATAATTAAACGCGAGGATCTAATGACTAAAAAATCGTTTCATTAAAATTTTAAAATGAACATAGGTTTAACTCCCGTTTTTATATTTGGTTTTATTTAACGCTCTTGGGCAGCATTTACCCATATTAACCCATATTATATTGTTACACCAATTAATGGAATACATTAATAATGCAATTTCTGGGCTTAGGATAAACCTATTAAAAATACTCGGGATCGATTGTTTTATTAATATACTTTGAATTACTTACCTGAACAGAAGAAGATTTAACACTACCAGAGATATGCACGGTCCAGTGTGCACGAAGATCACACGGAAAGCATAGTACAGAGTGAAGTATACGTCAAGTGTGACCCAATGTTCAACCCAATATGCGTGCTTCATCTTAAATTAAAACAAAACAAAATATACAGAATATATTATTATTTAGTTAGCTAATATGTTGTAAACAATAAATACAATGACGATGCACAGTGTATACAGTATTTGAATCACACAAATAATCACATATTTGTTTTTGAATCGTGAGTTGCGACAAAGGTGGCACTGTAGCAGGTACCTATATTTACCTTATAGACCTAATGCTACTAGACAATAACTTAATGTGTATTAAAACAGCATTACGAGTAACAACATCCGACGACAAAATACAATAATCTATATATCTATTATCATACCTTACTATGCATCGCCATACATATTCATTTAACAAGTAAGCAAAAAGTGCCCTCTATGTTGTTAAGGTTTCCATACAGTCATTGCATGTCTAGTAGTATAAGGTCGATGACTATTACACCGTCTCCGTATTCCGTGTAAACCGCGTGGTTTACCAATAACCACAATATTATACCTAGGTACTAAATAGTTGAAAATATCTCATTACTCCACCGTGGTTATTTAAATGTGGTTATTATAACAACAATGTAGTGAAATCGTTTTACTCGAACAGTATTATTTGATTTGTCAAATAACAAGAAAGTTTTGAACACGGACCACATGGTCAAACGAAATACTGTGGTGACAGCGTAATAGTATAAACTTTAAAGTATGTGAAATATCATAATAATCAGAATGTTTGGATACCATTGGGTGGTGGTGCTAGTAGAATCTATCTTATAATCAAGATCGGGATGTAGAGTATCTACCTTTAAATTTAACTAATAAGAATTAATAGGTATTTATAAATAACTATTTCGAAGAAATAAAAAAGTCTAACTAACAGAATCGATTTAACATTTTACCATGATAGGTACGTGTTTTAATCAAATCAAATTTAAATCATTAGTTTTAGTTTAGAGCTCTGTCTACAGAAATTATTTGTAATTAAAAACGTATGTTATTTGACCCTCAAATGAATAACAATATTAATTAAAATACATAGAATTAACGATTTATATGATATAAACATAAAAATACGTATTATTCTTACAACGATTTGAACAAATTGAATAAAAAATCAGTACATTTTAAAAATTGTAAGACTTTAAGTGAGTTGGCACATGGCGAAAATGTTATAATGTTTTTCTTCTTACTGTTTCCACAATAATAAACGTTAAGAAAAAAATCACTAACAGGTTTTGAATTCTATAAAAATATACTCTAGCTAATATAACACAATTTCCTCCTTCCAAACATTGGACATCTAATTGATAAAATTGAAACAGTCACCTGGTTTGTAAGCACAGTACTTCGTTAACGGTAGATAGCAGAAACAATTGAATGATTGCTGTTTTTTTAAACTTTTTAATATCATGTTTTCACTTGATACCTAAAGATTTTTTTAACATTGTTTTGAAAGAAAATTTTTTTTTAAATATCTTAATACGAGGTAGATACGTAGTTATTACGTCTAAGATATTGTTTATGCAGAGGTTTATTACAGAGGTAACCTCTGTTTCATTACATATTAGTAAAATATTTCTCAAGCTGTAACCCAAATTTAGTGAAGTATCTTCCAGCAAACTGATATTATTTATTTATCTTTATTATTAAGAAAAACAATCCGCGCCTGCTATAAGACGTAGCTAATAAGACGTAACATTGCACAACACAAACATTACAAAGTAGTTAATAATAGTAAATAATAAATAAATAAAATGAAATGGATAACATTTATTTTATTTTTTAGAGTATAAAAATAAATAAGATAAAACTTATATTATTAAAATGTGGAGGTTACAGTAGGTTGATGAGATGAGTTACTGGTAGAAGTTACAGATACTATTATTATTATCATCATCATACCATACATATATTTAGATTATTTCAGATGGATATTGTCAAGATTCCCGATGCAAATACAGATATAACTCAAACTAATATTTGCATGTTAATGTACCGAAGATTGGAACATTGAACAAATGAAGCAGACAGTTTCCAACAGATTATAATATTTAGTAAGTACCTACCAACTAAATCCGTATTGGTACAAGAGCACGAACAATCCAAATATCACCATAATATTACATTACTTTTGTGGACTTTTCGGGCAGTTTATGAAACACTTCTGGGTTTTATCGTTATTATTAAGGCAAAATATTTGAAAGATGATTTGATGAAGTCATTAAACTATAAAGATCTATCCACTATTCATTAAATATATTAATTGAAAAACGGTCTGTAAAAAAATAATTGTTTTGTATGTGGGGTGAGAATAATTGTTACAAGAAGAGGAAGATTTTCGAACCAAAATAAGTAAATGTATCTAATTGAATACCTACCAGATCAGAGAAATTGAATAAAAATCGCTTTTACCATTCTTGTCGTATCGTGTGAATCAACGTAATGGATTGTGTTTGTAGATAGGAAACGTACCACAGTGGTTTAATTGAATTCGGCTGATAATATCGTTACGAATTAAATATTGATTTCATCATTGTACATATAGGTATGGTATAGTACACATTGGTATGACCACATTAAGCTGTTGAGAAACACAGTGACTCAAGAATTCAATAGGTGATTAAAATTAAACGACGACATTAAAGTGTAGCCCTTAAAATTAACTATGAATGTTATTCTTTGTGTCGAATCGCATTAAATAAATTCCCATATAAATACATTCCTGTCACGGGAGTTTGTGTACACGGGAGTTAGGAAGGAAGCTTACATTTCAGGATATCAACAAATCATAACTACGTTTATTATCTATATAATATTTATAGTATACTATTATAATAAAATATTGTAAACATCAAAAGGAAATGATAACAAAAATAATATAATTTACTTTGGCACCCGTACCCACTTAATTTAATTTTAAAGCATTTTAGTTTTGTTGTAGAGATAATTTATTATTGTTTGTGGAAAATCTTATGTGTGTTCACTTAATATTTACACTGTACTCTATAGTCTGGTAAAAATGGCTTTGTACTTATTATTAATAATGTATTAAACTCGAGAAGAATGTATACAAACACCGTGTGTGCCGTTGAAAAAAAAACATTTAAAGTGTTTGAACAGTATTGACATCGAGTGCATAGTTTATGATAATGTGTTACAAGTTTATGCACAAGTACTTTCTTCTGAGGTCAGGTTGATCGCAGCTGAATTTAATCAAACATAGTTTACGATAAACTTGATAAACATTCCAGAGTAAAAGTGGTGAGATAGGTAGTTGCTTTATATGCCTACGATATATTACTTTAACGCCTCTATAACACAACCATCGAGTAACTTTCAGTTGAATTTAAAGTTAAAGTATTCACACACCCACATACACGCACTATGTAAACTAATTCACTTAATACGAAAATTAAATTTTACAAGACCACAACGGCCTGGTCGAATAGGTTCCTCGATAAATTATTATTTAAGGTGTAAAATAATCAATATTTTGTCTTAAAAACTAGAACTATAAGTACTTCAGATTCTGAGCGGAGCGATGAATGTATTGATTTTACAATGATGTATGTATTTCATTTTATTTATTTTTTAGTCCGTCATCACGTATTGTGACAGTAAAAGTACTTCGATTTTCTCCAACAACAAATTTTATGGTAGGAAAGTGAATAGAGCTTGGAAATTAATAAATGTAAATCTTCTTACATTTTAGTATTTTACTAACAATTAGTATGATTACAAATTACAATATATTAGTTTGAATATCAGCGTAATATATGGATTCTTATTTTTCATAATTTTTATTTTCAAAATAAATGTTACTAATTCTATTTCAACTGTGGACAAATGATTTAAAGTATATTTTTTTATACATATTTAACGTCTTAAAAATATGCACTCGTCAAAAGGGAAAGTTTCTACTATGTTATTGTGATAAACTAGGGTGTCAAAACTAATACGGGAGAAAATGTTGTGGAGAAAACTGGATGAGTATAACTTGTGGTTGACTTAAATATACTCAAACTAACAAAACTTTTTCGATTACTTCTAAAATAGCTTTCAGCAATGAGAAAATCTCATCAGTGAGTGAATTAAAAAATATTAGATTGTGTTAATTTATTATGATATATGAAATTTTGATTTTTGTTTAAAGAAAATCTCTTCTTTAAACGTTTGAAAGTTATTTACCACCAATGCTAGTTACTAGACTTAATATTATACTATATTTCAAACTTGATTGTTTTTAAAATAAATATTTGAACTGATAACTAATATTAAATGAGTGTTTCATTTTAAGAGAATAGTGAATATGAATTTGTCGGACGCAAACTGAGTAGATGCAGATAATCTGTTATTTAAACACTTTTAAAAACTTGTATCCTTTTTGTTAAACTTATAGCTTTTATTGGATAATTCTTCAAGTTCTACTTAAAATTTAATATAATTTTCTCAAGACTTTATATACTAAATCCATGCTAAATAACGAATATTAAAAGTTTCGAAAACTTGGATATTGGGACTTAAAAACTATGGTAAAATATATTTCAAGTCGTCGCCCACCGCACGGTCTCCCCATAAAAATGATTACATAATATTGTTTAATATTTTAGCATAATAATTCCATTTTTAAAACTTTTACACACTCAACGAAAGGATGGTTGCATTTATATTCTACAAACTCGGTTTTAATCTGATGCCATGTACCTACTGGCAAAAAAGGTTAGCAAAAAACTGTAATTATTTATAGTATACATTCAGTTGAGCAAACATACACTCGTTTCAATTGATTATGCCATATATACAATGTTTTTTTTTCATATAAAAGTAGAATTTTTGAATGCATTAATAGTGGAAAGATTTACAAACCGGTCATAAATAAAAGGACGAATTATGCGTAAGGGTGTACCTCACAAGCAGACCATTTTAGTATCTGTTCAAACAACGATGAATGCATATGAATAGTATTGTTTTTTTTTTCACAAAATCGGAGGGGAATAATTATAATTATATATCCTGATTCACTCAAAAAAGTTACTATGTGA